CATATATTTTAACTAAAAATAATGAAAAAGATTTGAAAACCACTTCTAGCCGGGGCAAAGAGATATAATACATGGCTTTGAGATTTGAGGAAGACTATTTGTCTGACTTTAGAGCTTGAGACGAAAATCTAGACTTCGATTATAGTTAAGGAAGGCCAAAAAAAAAGGTTCTTCTTTCCTAACGAGAAACGTGCTAGCCCAGCCCAAACTACACTTGGGTCAGGTGTAGGCTTGCTTGCAGGCCCAGCGTCGACAGCATGAAACTTTGCTTCAGAAAACGTGATCAATCGTAGCAAACATTCAGGCTCCAAACAACTGTAGATTTTGCCATGTATGGTTCACAAAAACGTATATTTGACACCTGTAATTTGCCATTTGGAACTCTAAAATGGCCATTTGGACTCTAAGAAAATGACTGATTTTACCAAGCGAAGGAGAGGCGGCAGTCAGGCTGGCATGCACTTGAGAGTTGACATGTTCAGTACACCGACAGGGCCGGGTCGTTCAGCCTCTCGAGCGTTTGATCCAATCCAATCAGATTTCTCACACTGCATGTTAGCATTGGGCACAAGAATGCCCATTTAATTACGGGTCGTCTCCTTCACACGTCACTGGTAATTAGCTTATCCATCAATCTGTTTCATTCCTAGAACATTGTTTTTTTAGTGGAGAATTTTCTTTTATCTTTACATTGCGATCTCCTCAAATCCGATTGATTGATATACAGAATATAAATCTGATTGATTGATATGCAGAATATAAAAATAGTGTATTTTTTAGCATGTCTTCGCGTTCCAAAGTTCTCGTGAAAACGAGAGCTGACATCGACGCAGACACCGCTTCCTCTACCGATTTTTTTTGTTTTTGCTTTTTGACCCCTTTTTGAATTTTTTAACAAATATATCTCTGGATAGACCCTGACACCGGCGCCGTGACAATTGGCGCCGAGCGTACATATCTCGACGCCAACAGGCCCATGGTCATTTTCTGGGTATCGCTCACGTGGCTACCTGGCGCCGTGACAATTGGCGCCGAGCGTACATATCTCGACGCCAACAGGCCCATGGTCATTTTCTGGGTATCGCTCACGTGGCTACCTGCGTGGCGCGGATGTGTCATGAGCTCGATGCCTTAGATCTTGACGTCAATTACTATAGCGCCAAGCTATGGAAATTGACAAATTTGATTTTTTTTCATGACTTGGATATTGAGAAATGTGGCTAACTCTAGAGCTTTTACAGTGACTTGCTGTTTGATCGCTTAAAACAATCTAGAAATACTTTAGATAAAAAATTTGCAATCTACCAAATGCACAGCACGGTGCAAGTCTCGGCTCCTACAGCACGGTCGGACGATGCATGGCTCGGCTGCAACCGTCTGTTGCATTGCTAATCGGAGTAGTAATACGTACTATGTGCATGCAATGAATCGTACGCGCATGTGCAGGCATGCAAAGCATGCACGCAATACACCTCACTTGTAAGCACGTCATGACCTTTAAGCACGTGGAAGTATGGCTAAGTCTATAATTTATGACTGTGGCTAAGTCTGGTTTTTTACCAGCCCTATTCACTTATGCTGAAATTTGGCTTATGCTGATGCTGATGCTGATTGTTGTGAGAGAAAAACACTGTTCATTCGCTGAAAAATATTGTTGAAGTAGTTCAAGCGAACTGTGGCTAAATCCAAACTTGACGAGACTTGTTTTGTTGTCATCTCTCAGAGAGTATTCAAACTCGTAGCAAGGTATCAAATTGAGTTGCTATACAAATTTGGAAGATAAAATATTGTATACATTTCAATTCATTGCCGGTGATCAGGGGATTAGAAAGATTTGGAGGGGGCAAAACAACACTGTATTCAAACTTGTGGTCACTATTCGGCCATGTTAAATACTGATTTAGATTTAGGTCCAAAAGCAAAGTTTACTGTACTCAACTCAAACTACAACTTCTATTAAAGGTCAAACTTCATATCTAGAAAAGAAACTATAGTTTTATCCTGGTCAAAACAACATCGTGAAAAAAGGAGTTAACTATTGATCAACACTTACAAGTATTTTTAGGCTAGTTCATGAACATAAACCCTTGATCATTTTTTGTCCTAAGTATTTCTAGATTGTTTTAAGTGATCAAACAGTAAGTCACTGTAAAAACTATAGAATTAGCCACATTTCTCAATATCTAAGTCATGGTAAAAATTCAAATTTGTCAATTTCCATAGCTCGGCGCCGTAGTAATTGGCGCCAAGATCCACGGCGCTGAGCTCATGCCACATCCGCGCCACATAGGCAGCCACGCCAGCGACACCCAAAAATTGACCCTGGACCTCGGCACCAGAGCAATTGTCGCCGAGACATACAACCTCGGCGCCAATTGTCACGGCGTCGAGGTTAGGGTCTATTTTTTTCATAGGATCAGGGACGTATTTGTGAATATCTTTAAAAAAAGGGTAAAAAACAAAAAAGACGGCTTCCTGTACAATGACAGCCGCCGCCGCTTGTTCAGATTTGTACAGTGATGAAGTGACGATCGATCAACTCCTCGTCCCCATCGAAGGTTTCCAGAAACTCCAGCTCGCCAAAGCCGCGGCGCGTTTCCGTCTCCCTGCTGGCCACACCACTGATCTGTGACTGCGGCGTTCCAGTTGCCGCCGCCGCCACTGGTGGAGCTATATGTGGCAGTGGCAACTGCATGCATGAGGCACGCCGTGCAAGCGCAGTCGGAAGGACAGCCGCGGACTCGGCGGCGCTACCTATGATCTCGTGCTGCCTGTCGCTGAGCCACAAGGCTCAGCGAGGACAGCGGCGGGGGTAGCCGCCTCCTCCGCGGCGGAGTGTCTCCTTGCAGTGGGAGATGGCGCTCGCCACGGCCTCCCGCGCGCTCGCGGGCCGTGTCGTCGACGGCGCCCCTTCGTGGCGCTGCCGGAGTTTCCTTATTAGCGGCCCTGGCCTTCCTCAGCCGCCGGGAGATCCTCCGCAGGTGCCTCCCCCCGCGTGCCCCCTCGGCGCCAGGCTTGCCGCAACCGAAACATTTCCCACGCTCGCCGCCGCCTGCTGCGCATCCTCCTCCGCATGGACTTTGTTGGACGCGCGCAAGAGGACTTTGTTGGAGGTCCACGGCCGCATCCCGGCGCCGCCCGCGCCGAAGCACAGTGCGGAGCTGGACGGGCTCTGCTGCCCGGATGTGCTGAAGCTGAAGTCGTCGGCGCTCGACGACGAGGAGGAGGACGCCGATGGCGAAGAGCACGAATCGGTTTCCTTATTAGCGGCAGATGGCAGACATTCTTGCCTGAATGGTTCACCTGGCGGGCGTGTGTATATGGAAGGCCCCTTCCCAGTTCCATGGCAGCCAGTATGGCAGCACGTACTGTCATTCCATAATCAATAACAACAACACGCGTCAAGGTTGGAATTTGTGGGCGAGCATGATTCGCAATCTTGCATTGATACGTCATTCTTTACGTACGACCATGTATTTTTGAGTGGGGAATTAGATTTTTCAGTTGAGGTTTATCTCCTTTTGTTGCTCAAAGTATTGGGGAAATTAAATTACAATGATAGCCAAGGGATTGGATTTTTTTCTCCGTTTCAAGAGTTCAAGGTGAATGGGTTTCCACCTTGGAGATTATGGGACGGCGTCTTTCAATGAGACTCTGGTACGGTTCCACTATTAGGGCATGTGTAACATATGGGCATGTTTGGGACCGCGTATCTTGCGGTGGCAGTCGAGAGAAGCAGAGAATCTCACGAATCACTGTGCGGTCCACTCGATTCTTGTTATCACTGCTCAGCCACCACAAAAAAAATAAACTACAGACATAATTTTACGTATCACAGTTCTCTCACTGTCGTTCGTCTACCGCACCGCGTGGTGAGAGATCATGATTCCAAACAAGACCTATGCCTTAAAAGAGGAATTTTTTTTGGCTCCTAGGCTCGGGTTTAACCGTTCCACCACAAAGAAGCTAAGAAAAGATTCCTAGCATCGAATCAAGTTGAGATACCAGATCTAACTGAATGAGAAACTAAACAGGCCCACTTGTCATCTATCACCATCAGCACATAGGAAATAGAGCGAGGAACCGGTAGAGGATGATGCGGTGCAGTTAAGGTTGAAAACGAACAAAAATAATCTCGTTCCGTTTCTACTTTGCTCCACGGAGACGGTTTTTTCTGCTCGTTTCGGCAGGATCCCGTTTTCATCCAGAATTTACCTATATTTGTTCCGTTTTCATCCCGTTTTCAATTTACGTAAGATTGTCTAGAAATTGATATGTTCATAAACCTACTAATCACCAATTATGCATGTTAACATGTTAACACATGGCATGTTAGTGAGTATTGGACCCGATAACTTCGTACGTGTATATTATTTTGTGACTTTGTTTATGTATACTCAAGAATATTTGATCATGTTATTCTACCTTAATTTTTTGGCTTTGCGTCCGTATTTATTTGTTTTCGTATTTCCGTATATCCCCATCCGTTTTAACTCCGTTTTTCGCCCGAACCCGATCCCGTTTCTACTAAAAATATAGAAACAGAAACATGAGAGGAGTTTTTCCACCCGTTTCTGCCCGCTTTCATCCCTAAGTGCAGTTTGTTTTCTTTGATTGTTGGTTGTGTTGTAGGACCCACTTAGGGGGAAGACATATAGCTCCATGGATGATATGGCATTCCATGAAAAAGCTAGCACCATGCCCTTAGGATACGATGTTGGGTGAGGGTAGGGATTGAGGTTGTTGGTTGCGTGGCACCTTCGATTGCGCTCTTCTTCCCCGAACTCGACAAAATGTGAAGAGAGAGGTGTCAACGTGATTTCCGGAATGAAATGCTTAAGGAGCAAAAAGTTTGAGTTGTACACAGGACATATGAATTATGCAATGCTTGAATAATCGTTGTGCAACAAATAAATTTAAATTATAATAACTAGAGAAAATATCTTTAAATTTTTTTGTTAATCAAAAGGTATTAGTTAATAACCTACAGCGTAGAGACATCAAATGGCTGCTATATTAAAGGAAAGTTTGGCATACCTCCAGCCCTAGATATCCATGAATGATTTGATGTTATAGTCATAAGATAGAATAAAGTATGCTATAAAAATAGCTTAACTAAATATCTTCAGTATGCCACAGCTCTAGCTCCAAGAATTTTTGGAGCTAGACCAGCTCTAGAATTCTTAGGCCTTTGTTAGATTGATAGGAAAACTACTTAGGCCTCGTTGGGTTACCACAATTCCTGGCCTACCGTTTCATCAATATTTTCAATAGCGTCGGAACCATTCCTGGCCAGGAACGTCCAGAAACGGCATAACCGGACAGAGCCTTACGCTGATTGATTCTCTAGCTCTAGCTCCTGGAATACGTTCAGTGTTGGTTCTACTACGCTGACACGATTTTTTCTTTTCATATCTAATCGCTTCCTTTTCATATCGAGCGGACTCTGCTTCCTGAACGCTCGAGAGCCGCTTCTTGGGATCTCCACAGTGATGAAATGGCGATTGATCATCTCCTCGTCCCCATCGAATGTTTTCAGAAACTCCAACTCGTCGTCCAAGCTGCTCATCGGCTCGCCACGGCAACCTGCACGTACGAAATTAATGGAGAGCCAACGCATTAGACTATAGACGTCGCATTGCATTGCATGGCATCCCACCAATCACCAGCCGACGGTGCTGGGTGGCTAGCAGAGAGACCTACCGTGGCCGTGATGCGGTGACTCCTCGCCGTGCGCGACGGCGGCGGTCGCGGCGAGCGAACCGTTCCGGTACCGGCTTGACGAGGACGAGCATGGCGACTCCTTGAATCGCTTCACCATCGTCTGCACCCGGATGGGCCAGCCGGCGTCCTGGTCGCGGCGAGAACGCGTCGGCGAGGGCCGCGAGTCCCTGGTCCTGCAATCGTCGCAGTGCTGCTCAGCAGCGCTTGCGATGATCTTCACCTCTTGTCTGTCTCTGTCGTCGAGGAGCCAGTCGTCAAGGCTAGGCGAGGGAGACGGCGGCGGGGGCATCGACGACCGCCGGAGCGTGTCCTTGCAGTAGGAGATGGCGCGGGCCACGGCCTCGGCCCTCTCGCGGGCTGTGTCGTCATCAACGGCGGCCATGGATGACGTCAGCAACCCCTTACCGACGCTCCTGTGCTTCGCCCTTAGTCTCCTGGCAATGTTTCTCAGGTACCTCCTCCCAATTCCCAACCACGTCTCCCTTGATCTTGGGCGCCATGATCGCCGCAGCCTGCTCCTCCTGCTGCTGGTGCAGCTTCGCGGGCGCTCGCGCGCGGGAGCCCAGGAGCTGCTGCCTCCTCCCGGCCGCGCCGCCGCTGCCAGCGCCGAAGCACAGCGGTGTTGCGGAGGTGCTCTCCTGCCGGGATCGGGACCGGGACTTAAAGAAGCCGGGGTGGCCATCGCTCGACGACGAGGAGAGGGAGGAGCCCGATCCGGCCAAATTGACGCTGAACGACGGTGACGCTGAACGAGGACAGGGCGGAGAGGGAGGACCGGGACTTGATTCATTTTTTATTTAAGCACCTTAATGTTAGTGCACCAATAGGAGAAATAAGTAGAATTGAGGTGGAATAGCAAGAAGGGGATTGGTTTAGACGAGGTCTGGCCAATAAGAGTTTTTTTTGTTACAATGCTGATAGCTGATCCCTTCTACAAGTAAGCCATTGCATACATATAGCAGTGCTCGAATACACTAGTCTAGAGAGCTAGTCGTTTCACACACGTGTGCTCTGGGCCCTCGGCCTGCTGGACCTCCTCAGTGGCGGCCCATCCGTTGCATCCTCGTCCTCTCTCGGTTATGTTTGCATAGTGTACATTTATTGCCTGTACTGTTTGTCTGGCAGACCCTAGACTTTTTTTATTGTTCGCTTGAACTTATCAGCTATAGTACAGTATTTTTCTCTCATAATAAAACAGTATCAAACGGCTTTTCAATCGCAAAACCATCTGCCGAATAGCTCGAGACGCAAGCTCCTTTTTCTCAGCACCTCCGCTTGCTAGGGTTTGTAATTTCGCAGGTGGAACTTAGCTGTGTATCGCAGCCGGCAGCTTCAGTCATGAGATAGGGTGTAAAGAGGTTCAAAAGAACACAGGCATCCTCTGACGAATCATCCAGAATTTGAGATTCGGGTGCGATCCGTCGGCAGTTGGCCGCGTTCGGCTGTTCAGTTCTCGGATTGTTTCAACTTATTCTCGCTCACAGAACACTATTGAATCGTTCAGAACCATCCAAAATCCACTGTTACATGCACCAGCCGAACACCCTCAATAATGTCTTGTCTTCATATTTGTAAATCCACACATGCCCGAGCTGTTCTGTGGCTGTTAAGCCGGCTGATACAGTTTTATTGTAAAAAAATATATAACATAACTGATAAGCAATTCAAGGAAACGGAGCTGCCGTCCAAGATGGCCTGCCGACACTACACGGATATGTGGTTTAACATGTACCCTGTTTTTTCTTAATTTTGACCCTATTTTTACCGCTGTTAATGAATTTGGCTTGTCAGAATTTTTTCTCGTTACTTACTCTCGAGATTTATGGGCGTCCTTATTTTTTTTTCTGGTGCACTACATAATTGTTTAATTTCGCTGTCCGTTCAGGCACCGCATTCAATTTCGTATGTACTATATGCTCTGCCTCCAGTAGTAGTAATGTAGTATATACCTGGCAAGGATGTGTACTGAATCCTCTGTTCGCAATGCGTCTTTAACTGCGCAGTTCAGTACACAAATCGTAATAATGTTTTTTCCCCTCTGCCTCTTAGAGTAATCTTAGGAAGTACGGGTCTCTTTGGCTGCCGCCGCTGCCGACAACGCCACAGCTGTGGCCGCACCGTAAATGTGGCGGACGAATCGACCGCCTAATCTTCGGCAAACTGTGGCACGGCTGTTTGGCAGATGCGGCGCGCCACACTTGCTGCGGCGCGCGGTGGACGCGAGCCAAACAAGCCCGTACATAATTGTTAGAACGATGAATAGAAATTCCTTTTATATTATGTTTTGTTTTATTTCTGTGACCATGTTCTACTTTTCTTAAATCGGTATCTGATATATTATTTATGTTTATTATTTGGATTTGTTATATTTTAGATGCCTAAAATATAGTATATTTTTAGGCAACAGTCGTAACTATTAGTATTCTTGATAGATCGCTTGAGCAGTCAGACGACTGAGAGGTAGGAAAAGTGTTATTAATTTCTTTGAGCGCAGAATCGTTTTACGAGCCAAATGGATAACCTACGACCTGAATGCGGCTCATTTGTGTCCAGGTGTTCCGTTAGATTAATTCATGAGGTAGTTTCGAAGTTTGATTCGAAGGAAATAGAGCTTGTCAAGTCTACATACTTTGAAGGCATGTTACTTTTTCCTCCTATTAAGCAGATCAATAGGAAGTTTGCATTATAGATCATGAGTTGTGTAGATGAGTTGTCATAAACATTGGTTACTAGGAAATCTGTCGGGGACCAATACTAGGGTACCCAAAGAGGAGGGACTAATGGTCATCAACATTAATTCATCCGAACAGTCAAGAGCGTGACTACGGCTCCAACTGACCCCCAAGCGCGCGGGCTCTGCCTCGACCGACCCCTGGGGAGCCTATGGGGAAGGACTCGCCTCGCCTCGCCTGACCCCGAGACCGCGGACTCAGCCTCGCCCGACCCTTGGGTTTGCGCCCCGCCTCGCCCGGCCTCTGGGGGAGGGCTCAGCCTCGCCCGACCCTTGGGTTTGCGCTCCGCCTCGCCCGACCCCAAGGCCACGAGCTCCGCCTCGCCCGACCTTTGGGTTTGCGCTCCGCCTCGCCCTGACCCCAAGGCCGCGGGCTCCGCCTCGCCCGACCTTTGGGTTTGCGCTCCGCCTCGCCCCGACCCCTGGGTTTGCACTCCGCCTCGCCCGACCCCAAGGCCGCGGGCTCCGCCTCGCCCGACCTTTGGGTTTGCGCTCCGCCTCGCCTCGACCCCGCAGGCTCCGCCTCGCCCGACCCTTGGGTTTGCGCTCCGCCTCGCCGACCCCAAGGCCGCAGGCTCCGCCTCGCCCGACCCTTGGGTTTGCGCTCCGCCTCGCCCGACCCCAAGGCCACGAACTCCGCCTCACCCGACCCTTGGGATTGCGCTCCACCTCGCCCGACCCCGAGGCCGCAGGCTTCGCCTCGCCCGAGGCCGTGGACTCCGTCTCGCCCGACGGAGACCCATGCTACCACCAACAACTCCAAGTCCAAGTATATGGGCCTGGGTCAAAGCTCTGACACCAGGGAGGAGACCGACACACCCCGATGTAACCCGCGGTCACGACGGGCCATACCCGAGGATTCACATCAGGAACAGCATCAGGTGTACCGGTGCTGTTCTGCCAAACCCTCATACGAACATTGACAGACGCATCGGTTCACCACGACGTCCGCCAGGACGGAGTGGAGCGCCATGACCGGTAGACGATGCCTGCGCATGGCGCCAGTGACGGACAGGGCCGCGTCGTGGAGCCATCCCTGTTGACATCTATAGGGTCGGCGGGACCCACATGAAGGATAAGAAGGACCTGTCGATCCTGAAGGCCTTTGGCTCTCTCTCGTTCTTTTCTTTCCCTCCGCTGTAACCCGTGCTTTCTCTTAGCCTATAAAAGAGAAAGCAGGGCGCCCCACGAAGGGGGTCGATCGATCGATTGAGGCCATACCCGATCGAACCATCACGAACCATCGAACCTCGAACCAACCAGAACACAACACAAGCACACGGCCGAGCAGCAACCGAGCTTTCGGCACCCGTTCACTCTTTTCCACCAGAGACTTGGGACCTGTCCCTCTCTCGCCCATTTGTAACTCCTACTACAAACTTTCAGTGCTAGTAACACGAGCAACGGCGACGAACTGGACGTAGGGACATTCTGCCCGAGCCAGTATAAACCCCATGTCCTCTAAGCACACCATCTGAGTCAGACGCGCAATACTAGAAATTTACTCGTTAGTGGTAACTCGAAACACCGACAAAATCCCTATGCGTTGCTGCGGGATTTTGTGAAATATAATTCGTTGCATGTTGTTTGTGGGATTTTGAGAAGTATTTATAGTACTATTATTTGTAGCAAATTATAGAAGAATGTAAATTAAGATATAAAAGCCAATAGCAAAATAAGAGCTTATTGTTCCCAAATGGTTATGCTCAGCAAGTGGACTGGAGACGTGTTCCATATGCATTTTACTGTAGTATCTTATTGCCGATTATGCAGCACTGCTTAGGAAATCCTAAGTCATTAGTAAACTAAGATACCAAGGTGCTACATGAACTTCTCCATATGTGACTATGTGAGTAAGTGTTATTTCAAGCACTATGATTGTATAAGGTAAAGATGAAATTTTAAAGAATGTGTAGAAATGGTATAAATCTTTTCAAGAAAGGGAAACACGGACTACCAGAAAAAGATTATGAAAGAAAAATAATTTATGAACAACTTTTGTTTGGATAAAAAGGTCTAGTATTTTGTTTAATTTGTTTTAGATAATAGTAGTACCATGATAGTTAGACCTTTTTTTTTTATTCTGCAAGGAGCATAAAGGAAAGGATAGGTACTCTACTGCCCTTTCATTATGGATGCTCGATATATTGCACGTGAATTGTTTGTAGGAACACATGAACTTTGGTGAGTATTGATGAACCAAAAAAAATATCAAAGGAATAGACAACGCTAGTCTAAATGGGTAACATATATATCCCATAATTTAGGTTAGTACCGAAGAAAGCAATACACATGCCATGATGGAGCAGGGAGATATGAAAGAAAAAGAACTGATGCAGTAGATTTGACGTTAAACGCTAGTAACTTCTAGTGATGATTACTATATTGTATTAAAAATATATTCGAATAAATTTAATTAGATCACAAAGAGTTTTACCTCGATACTAGCAGATGCGCTATATACTGTTTAAAATCATTTGCCTCAGTACAGAGTTCGACGACAACAAAACACATGGATATAGAGTACCCAGGCCTGGCTATAGAGTACCCTTGAAATAGTTAATTCAATTAATGATAGGTTGTATATGTCACGTGGGCGGATCTATATACAATGTACTGGCTGCGGGCGCATCCACAAAAATATTAAAAAACGGTAATTATAATTAAATTTTCATCATATTCGCACCCATACGGTAAAATACCATGCACCCACAAGGCAAGCGCACCCTCCTCGCATTTGCTCTAGCTTCGCCACTTATATGTCATAAACATGTACAGACGTACAGCATATGCCTGAAGATGGGACGATATGAACAGTTGGATGCCAACAAATGCATCAGTGTATACTTGTAGGAAATGTGAAGCTAGCTTCCTGGCATGATTGATGTCTACCTGGGCTATGCCAACACAAAGAAATATACAAAATATACTAATAATAGATCAACAGTTTTTTTTCATAGATTGTATAGATGAATAATATAAGAAAAAACAGGGATTGCCAGAACTCAGAAGCGAAACATCTGAGGCAACACGCACGGCAAGAGTGTAAGGGGATTCCAGCAGCATACGCGAGGCACCCACTTCTACTAAACAACAGTGCAGCATCTGATTGCTGGGAGAGGCGGTGGTGTCGCGGTGATAATACAGGTGTCAGATGATGGTGGAGAATTGGGGAAGGGATTTACCGAAGGGAGATCCTTGGACCTTGGCAGCCTGAACCCAGGAAGTGGTGGGGTCCGCTCTGAAGCTGTACAGTTGTTGGTGGCGCAGTTTTCGATCAGTTTCGTGGGTGGCAGTTTCTATTGGTTTGGTGGATGGGAGTTTCTATATGGACATGGTTGTTTTGCCAACTGGGATAAAACCCAAGAACATGGACGACAGGATTAGTCTGGTAGATGAATCGGACGAACAACACTAACTGAGACGATGCATCAGTGCAGTTTTGCTTTATAAGAGATATATAGATAGATCGGTGAGCATATCACGATAAAATTCACCAAAGAAGATGTTGGTACTGTTTTTGGGATACCGTGCTCCGGCTATCGAGTTTTAGATAATCGGATATCTACTCGTGATGCAAAACATAAGGTACTACAGTACTACACGGGTATCTAGGATAAACTACACTTGACTCAGGTGTGGGCTTGCTTGCAGGCCCAGCGTCGACAGGATGAAACTCTGCTTCAGAAAACGTGATCAGTCATAGCAAACATTCATGCTCTAGGCAATTGTAGATTTTGCCATGTATGATTCGCAAAAAGGTATATGTAACACCTGTGATTTTCCATTTAGAACTCTGAAATGGCCATTTCGACTCTAAGAAAATGATTGATTTGTCCTTTGGGCTTTGGCCATGCTCTGTATTTCTGCAAGGGAAAGGAGATGAGGCAGGCAGGCACTTGATAGCTGACATGTTCACTTCAGTACACCGGCAGGGCCGGTTCATTTAGCCTCTCCAGCGTTTGATCCAACCAGTTTTCTTTTCTCACATTGCAAATTAGCAGTAATCTCAATTTTTTTTTTTTGCAAATTAGCAGTGGCACAAGAATGCTCACTTAACTACGGGTTGTCTCCTTCACACATCACTGGTATTTAGCTTATCCATCAGCCACATTTCCTAGCCATTAGTTGTTGATCCAGTAGTGTTGGAAAACCAGGTTTCCGACGGGCTATACATGGAAGGCCTTCGCCCAGCCGGATGCCCTGGGCGAAGGTCAGGACAGTGGTAGGTGGACCTGGGCACAACTAGGGTTTTATTAATATACTCACCAAGCTCCCTTGTATAGAGTTTGAGTCACTTTTTATAGGGCACTGTTTACTAAGGCTATTCTTTACAATTCTACCCCTTGTCGGTTACATATATCTTCGGAATATTCCTATGGTGATACAAGCCGCCAAGGGCAGTTTGGATGTCTTCTTCTTCAACCGCCTTTGCCTGTTGGGCCACCGATGACGGCCCGTCATCAGCCCGTGGCCCAGCGCCGCCGCCGAGCGGGAGCTCTCTTAGGTCTTGGGGCCTCCACTTGGGATGCCTTCCCCGGGGCCTCCGCTACCGCCGCCCGCACTGTGGCCTCCGCCCGTGCCGCAAGAGCCTTTGCCTTCAGCCGCGTCCATGTGCCTTCGTCGCAGCCTCCAGGCCTTCGCTCCGAAGGGTCGCCCAAGCGGAGGCCTCCATCTTCTTTCCCTGCACATTGCTTATAAAACTTGTTAACCGTCAGCTCTTATTGTTGCTGTGAACATTGCTCTCCGCGACTCATAACCGTGTCCCAACAAATAGCTCGCTCAGATTTTTCTTGCACTTTCTGTTTCATTCCTGGAACATCTTTTTTCTCACGAAGTTAGAACATTTTTTGTCAGTTGAGCATTTTCTTTTATCTTTATACAGCAATCTCCTCAAATACCTCGATTGACATTCAGAATATAAATCTGATTGATTGATATGCAGAATATAAATCGTATATTTTTCGGATGTCTTCTCAATGCAAAGCTGAGAACGAGAGCTGACATCGACGCAGACAATGCTTCCTGTACATGACAGCCGCAGCCACTTTGTTCAGATTTGTACAGTGATGAAGTGACGATCGATCAGCTCCTCGACCCCATCGAAGGTTTCCAGAAACTCCAGCTCGCTGAAGCTGCCACGCGTTTCCGCCTGCCTGCTGGCCACCGCACCACTCATGATCTGTGACGACGACGGCGTTCCAGTAGCCGCCGCCGCGGACTCGCGTCCCATGATAGGTGGCAACCGCATGCATGGGGCATGGCGTGCAAGCGCAGTCGGAAAGACAGCCGCGGGTGGCCGCGAGCCGCCGCACTCGTCGTCGCAGTGCGCGGCGGCGCTAGCAATGATCTCGTCCTGCCTCTCGCGGAGCCACAAGTCAAGGCTAAGCGAGCACAGCGGCGGGGGTAGCCGCCGCCGCCGCGTCGTGCCGCGGCGGAGTGTCTCCTTGCAGTGGGCGATGGCGCTCGCCACGGCCTCCGCGCGCTCGCGGGCCGTGTCGTCGACGGCGGCCCTCCGTGGCGCTGCCGGCGATTCCTTGTTAGCGGCCCTGACCTTCCTCAGCCGCCGGGAGATCCTCCGCAACCGCAGGTACCTCCACACCGCGTCCCCCTTCGGCGCCACGCTCGCCGACGCCTGCCCATCATCCTCCTCTTCGTGGATCTTGGACGCGCGCGCGAGGGCTTTGCTGGAGCTCCACAGCCGCATCCCGGCGCCGCCCGCGCCGAAGCACAGCGCCGAGGTTGAGGTGGATGGGCTCCGCTGCCCGGATGTGCTGAAACTGAAGGCGTCGGCGGCGCTCGATGAAGAGGACGCCGATGAGGAGGAACCCGAATCTGTTTCCTTATTAGCGCCGGCGCCGCCCGTGCCGAACGCCGGGGACGACGGAGACGGGCAATCAGGCTCGGAGGGTGCAGGCGTCGCGGCCGTGGCCACCGTCGTCGCGCCCACGGCATACGGGAACAGCCAATTCATGGCAGCGACGACCGATTAGTGAGCGCTGGTGCCTCTCGTAGGAATGGAGTTGGAGGTGTGCGTGTGCATAGGTGCATGCACGCCATTGTTCATGGCATGGTGGCGTGTCTTTATATTCACGTCGTGATCATTCTGGACGGCGCGTCCTCCTGGAGATTGGCAGATGACAAGCATTTCTTGCCAGAATGGTTCACTCGGGGGCGTGTGTATATGGAAGGCCCTTCCCAATTCCATGGCAGCAACAGCCAGTATGGCAGTACTGTCATTCCATAATAGCAACACGCGTTCAAGGTTGGAATTAATTTCTGGGCGAGCATGATTTGCAATTAATACGTCATTCTTCATGACCATGTATTTTTGAGTGAGGAATTATATTTTCAGCACAGGTCTCTCTCCTTTTGTTGCTCAAAATATTGGGGAAATTGCAATGATAGCAAAGGAATTGGATCTTTCTCGGTGAAATGGGTTTCCACCTTGGACATTATGGGACAGAGTTTTTCAATGAGACCCTGATATATTCCACTAGGGCATATGTGCAACCTATTGGCTGTTTGGGACCGTGTGTCTCGTGGTGGCGGTTGAGGGAATCAAAGAATCCCGCTAAACGCCACTCGGTCCGCTTGATTCTTGTCACCGTGTCCAAATCAGCCACCATGAAAATGAAGGCACAAAAATGAACTATGACCATGATTTTACGTATCGCATCTCTCACTGTCGCTCGTCTACAGCATCACGTGGTGGGAGATCGCAATACCAAACAGGGTCTATGCCTTAAAGAGGCAACCACATTTTGACTCCTAGGTTCTAACCGTTGCACTAAAAAGAAGCAAAGATTCCTAGCATCGAATCAAGTTGAGATTCCCGGTCTCTCTGAATGAGAAATTAAACGAGCCCACTTGTCATCAACTATGTTGTCACCATCAGCACATATATAGGAAATAGAAAGAGGAATCGGTAGAGGACGATGGAGTGCAATTTGTTTTCTTTTATCGTTGATTGTGTTATTGTAGGACGCACGTACTTAAGGCCTTGGATGATATGCCATTTCATAAAAAAGCAGCTCCATACTGAGCTACTCCAGTCAGGCTCCTATTTGAGCCCACAAAATCAAATAAGAGGGTCCAAGCCAAAACAAAAAAAGAGCTCAAGCAAGGCCCCTACTACAACCCTCAAATTTGAGGGTTCTCTCAAATTCTCCCCATCATCCCTCATTCTTGGGCCCTAAAAAATTATATTGTGGCCGTCTTCGCTATGCGCGCATGAGAAATCACGCCCACCCGAATGATGCGCCGCCCACTGTCAGCGAGACCCTTCCACTAGCATGATTCCCCTCCAACGGCAGCGTTACTTCCCCTCGCGGATCTCCATTCACTTGGCACAACTTCCCTCCACCGCTGCTCCTCCCTCCCCGCTACTTGGCTCCTCCGGTTGGTGAGGTGTGGCCTTCCCCTGGCGGATATTGACAAGATCCGGCCTTCCTAGGAAGATCTCCCTCCCCTTCCCTGCGGCGCGGTTCCTCCGGTCAGCAAGATCTGCCTTTGCTTGAACGAGCGAGGCGCTCCTCGATGCGTTGGGATAGCTCAATTGGGTAAAGTGTTGATATAAAGCATTGAGAATGACAAGTGGGTCCCGAGTGTCAGTGTCTATAAAAAGGATTTGAGGGCTCAATTAGAGCCGAGGCAAAAAGAAATCAGACCCTAAAAATGAGAGGATCCATGAAATTAAAAGTAGGGGTCCTTGTTTGAGGTCTGTGGGACATAGTCTCCGGGTACCCCGCAAGGAAGGAAGAAGATCTAGTCCGACTAGGAATTTCCCACATGTAATTCTAGTAACATTGTGTCGGTGTTTCGGACGGGGGGTCCTCAACCAACTAGTGAATTTGAACTGCGTGCCCCTAATCCCGGACGGTGATGCAAAGAGACACAAGGTTTATACTGGTTCAGGCAATCGGTGCCCTACGTCCAGTCTGAGAGATCGATCTTGTATTCCTTGCACCGAAGTGCTCGTAGTAGGGGGTTACAAGCTGGGCGAGAGAGGAAGCTAGTCCTAGGTCTCTGCGTGGAGTGGTGTCGGGCTGCTTGAGACGTTGCTCTCAGGCAGCGGGAGAAGCGTGTGTCTGAATCTACGTGAGCCTACACGAGTGTTCGTCTATCTTTTTTTCCTCTCTTGGGAACGGTCCCGGTCTCCCCTTTTATAGTTGAAGGGGGGACATGGGTGATACATGTGTTTGTTATGTGGCGAGCGGAGGTGGCGTTTCTGAGTCCTGTAGCTTGCTACTGTGGCGGCATGGTCAACAGAGTGGTCTTGTCCTTGATGCACTGGAGCAACGCGCCGGTCAGACCTGATCTTGTGCAACGTGGGAGTTCCAGTGATAGCTTAGCGCAGGGCATGGCCGAAGTCGTGCCGGTCGTTGTGCGTTGACAGTGAAAAGAGCCGAGGCTCAGTTGGTGCCGAGGCCGAGCTATCGTGGGGGGGGCTCGGCGGGCGTAAATCCCGAGGCTGCCGAGACCCTAAAGTGGATTGCCGAGGCTTGGAGGGAGCAGTTGGTCCTATACACTGATTCCGAGACTATAGTGACCCAGACTTGACTCCCCACGCCACGCTGTTCCTGGAACAGGAATTAGGTAGCACAAAGGCGGTACGAAGCGTCGATTATGGGCACAAAGGTTGCGAGCACACGATGGTCGTTAACCCCTGCCCATCTGTCTGCTGTCTCGCCGTCCGTCACCACTCCACCATCTCACGCCGATGTCTTTGGCAGCGTTATGGAGTGGTTGGACGCGCGACATTTTGTCAGAGAAGTCAGTCGAGACGGAGGCGACGACGTTGTTGCCGATCCGGCCTCGAGCGAGTCAGAGAATCGATAACCCATCTAAGGCCGTGCGGGGCGGGGCCTCGGCGAGAGGGCCTTGGTAAGGCGGAGAGTTGGCCTTTCATCCGAGGCTTTTGCGGCGCAGGCCTCGGGCGAATCGGTGAATCAGCCGAGACCTCGGAGTTGTCCCTTGGATTTGATATTTGCAAGGTCTAAGCAATCTTTTCAGTTCTTGCTTTGGGTATCCCTTTTTATGGTATCCGACAGTAGCCCCCGAGCCTCAGGGAGAGTGCGCCCTGAGGCTTTGTCGAGATTCTGGCTCGCAGCGGCTCCCGTCGGGATTGTGTTTTGTTCTCGTGGTTCCGGTGGGTGCGCGCGAGTGCACCTGCCGGGTGTAGCCCCCGAGTCCCTGGAGGAGTGAATTTACTCCTCCAGGGGCTTTTTCTCTGTTGAGTAAGGAGTTCTATCGCGTTTGCCGGGCCTATGAGTGCGAGTTCGGGTCGCTGGGCCTCGGTTTAGTCATAGGAAGAGCCCCCGAGCCTCTGCATGGAGCGAGAGGGCGATCAGTGGTTTCCCTGTCTTTTTTGGCGGCCCTCGCGCATCCTTTTCGGTCGGAGGGAGGGGTGGAGCATGTCAAGTTACCCTCGGTGGGCGCGAGCAGTGACATCTCCGGTGAGCTGTTATCGGGTTAGTCTAAGTGGAGGCCCGTGCCCCATTCGATAGGGGTCGGCTAGTGGTCCAGAGACGCACTCCAAAAGTACCAGAGGGCTTCTCTAGTGGGTCCCAGGGCCGTTCGATTGGCCCCGGGGGCTCGATGCCTCTCTACGGTGGGATCCCATTCGGAGACCTCCCTACCGGTCTTGGACATGACTTAGGGCTTCCTAAGCATTTGCTTGCTTGGGCCTCGGCCATGTACGGGCTTGCCCACAGTCATCCCTGACTCTGTTTGTCCTAGGGCGGCTGTCGAAACCTTTGGGGGGCCCAGCCTTCGAACCCCTGGACCGTAACAGGCTCGGTACCCTTTTTATCGCGTTTTTCTGAGTCTCTGAGTGCGAGCTTGGGTTGCCTGTTTTCGTTCTAGGTGCAGGAAGAGCCCCCGAGCCTCCGCACGGAGCGAGAGGACGGTCAGGAGTTCCCCTGACTATTTGTGCGACCCTCGCGCATCCTTTTCGTTTGGAAGAAGGGGTTGTTTGCCGAGCCCTCGAGTGCGAGCCTAGGTCGCTAGGTCTCGACAAGGTTGTAGGGAGAGCCCCCGAGCCTCTGCACGGAGCAAGAGGGCGATTAGGAGTTCCCCTGACTTTTCGTGCGACCCTCGCGCATCCTTTTTGTTCGGAAGGAGGGGTTGTTTGCCGAGCCCTCAAGTGCGAGCCTGAGTCGCTGGGTCTCGCCAAGGTTGCAGGAAGAGCCCCCGAGCCTCTGCACGGAGCGAGAGGGCGATCAGGAGTTCCCCTGGCTTTTTGTGCGACCCTCACGCATCCTTTTCGTTCGGAAGGAGGGGTTGTTTGCCGAGCCCTCGAGTGCGGGCCTAGGTCGCTGGGTCTCGGCAAGGTTGCAGGAAGAGCCCCCGAGCCTTTGCACAGAGCGAGAGGGCGATCAGGAGTTCCCCTAGCTTTTTGTGCGACCCTCGCGCATCCTTTTCGTTTGGAAGGAGGGGTGGAATATGTCAGGCTACCCTCGGTGGGCGCGAGCGGTGACACTTCCGGAGAGCTATTATCGGGTGAGTCCGAGTGGAGGCCCATGCCCCATTCGATAGGGGTCGGCTAGTGGTCCAGAGACGCACTCCAAAAGTACCAGAGGGCTTCTCTGGTGGGTCCCAGGGCCGTTCGATTGGCCCTTGGGGCTCGGCGCCTCCCTACGGTGGGATCCCATTCAGAGACTTCCCTGTCAGTCTCGGACACGACTTAGGGCATCCCGAGCGATCGCTTACTCGGGCCTCGGCCATGTACGGGATCGCCCATAGTTGTCCCTGACTCTGTTGTCCTAGGGCGGCTGTCGAGACCCTCGGGGGCCCAGCCTTCGAACCCCTGGACCGTAACGGGCTCGGCGCTCAGTTCCTTGGTCTGGAAGGAATCGGGTGGGGGGATATTCCCCTCCCATCGGCTGACAACGGCGGGCATGCCTTTTGAGGCGGTTTCTTGGGGCCTGCTGTTGGTGAGGTTGGATGCGACGTAGTGTCAGCGGACGGGAC